AAAAAGCCATCAGTGAAGGCGCCAAGCTGGAAATCGGCGGCAATGTCCCCGACCAGCCAGGCGCTTGGTATGAGCCGACTCTCCTGACCGATGTAACTTCAGAGATGTCCTGTTTCCGGGAAGAGTTATTTGGTCCGGTCGCCTGCGTTATCACCGCAATAGATACGGATCACGCCATCGCACTTGCTAATGACAGCGATTACGGCCTTTCAGCCAGCCTCTGGACAAAAAATCTGGAAGAGGCCGAGTTGCTTGCAGCGCAAATAGAGGCTGGGGCGGTCCATATCAATAAGGGCTCCACGTCTGACCCGAACCTCCCGATCGGTGGAGTCAAGGCAAGCGGACATGGAAGAGAGCTGACAGAATTTGGCCTTCTCGAATTCATGAACATCAAGCCTGTCTGGACGGCGACCTGAGAAGGTCAGTGGCGGCGGTCGTATGTATCACTGCCACTGACCTGCCACCATCTTACGGTTCAACGCCACCCATTTTGCAGATAACCTGCCACTCCTGCAAACTGATCGGCGCGACAGAGAGACGTGACTGACGCAAAAGTGAAATCTGGCTCAGATCAGGGGCCGCCTTGATCTGCGCCAGCGTCACCGGCGTCGTAAATGATTTGACTGTTTTAACATCCACGCAAACCCAGCGAGGGTCATCTGAACTCGGGTCAGCATAGGCGGTGCGGACAATTTTGACCACACCTCTGATCGCCTTCTCAGTCACGGAATGATAAAAAAACGCGCGGTCGTGCACCGCCATGGCCGCAAGATTGTTCCGCGCCTGATAGTTGCGCACGCCGGTCCACGGCTCGACATCATTGCGGCATTGGGAATCCCAGGAAAATGTTGCAGGCTCGGATTTTATCAGCCAATAATTCACGCAATCGTCTCCCGTCAGGCCTATTCATCACCCCGTGTCAGCGCCGGAGTTTTGCGACCTTTATCGTGTCAGATCACGCGATTCGCCACAAGCTTGCCACATAATTCGTTGACGATATGGCCAAGAGCGCCCCGCATCATGTATGCTGACCGCTTACACACGTGCAATATAAGTCGGATCTTTCCAGAATTGAGCATTCCACCACGCCCTGCCAAGTCACCCAGACGTGGCGCTCGTCTCGAACGATTTGC